CATTCATGAAGCCATCCTCAGGTTGCTTGTTCAATTCCAGTTCATTGGAGGTTAATTTTATTACTGGGACTCTTGTGGCACAGTGGCAGTGTCTCTACCTTTCAGCCAGGAGGCCTGAGTTCAAGTCCCACCTGCTCCAGAAGGATGAGGGAGGATCTGATTGAAACGCACAGAATATTGAGATTCCTGGATAGAATGCACATGGAGACGATGTTTCAAATAATGGGAAAGACTAAGACCTGAGAGCACAGTCTCAGAGTGAAGGGATGATCCTTTTTAGAACTGAGATGAGGAACCAATCCTTCAGCCAGAGAGTGGTGAATCTGTGGAACTCATAGCCTCCACAGCCCTCTGGCAAAGTCATTGAGCTTCTTTAAGGCAGATAAATAGGTTTTTGATTGGTGAGGGATCAAGGGGAGAAGACGGGAATGGGTTTGAGAAACATATTAGCCATGATTGAATGGTGGAGCAGAGTTGATGGGCTGAATGTCCTAACTCTGCTCCTATATCTTATAATCTAAATATTTTATTAAATATGATGCCCCCGTTGCTCCTTCATTCAGTGAGTTCAAGACTTCCATTATCTTTGGGTGAAAAATCTTCTCATTCACTCTAAACATTGTATCGCTTACCTTTAAATCTACGTTTGCCCATATGACAGGGCCTTTCCCCACCCATTCTTCCTACACACTCCTGTTTGAGAGAAAAGAATCTGAGATTAAGGTGAAATTATTTTCAAGTTTCTGGACTTGAAACTTGCACAATCTTTTGTCTTATTGATCCAGAGCTGAAAGTGTGCTGCCAGTGACCGAGAGCCCTTCAGGTTAAGGAAAAGGGAGTTATTCTAACAGCTAATGACAATCCGGTGGGCTTCCCCGTCGTTCTGACCCCTTCTGTGGGGAAACCTTTGCTCACTTTCTCTTCTGTATCCCTAAAGCTCCTTGATGGACACCAATGAACTAAGTGTCAAGGCTAAGTATGGGATAGAGCTGAAGCTCCCTGCTGACTGTGGTGAAATGAACCTGCTTCCTCTCTCAAACTGAACTCGCATCAGAGGGGTGGCCACTAGGCTGAACTAGAGAGAGGATCTGGAACTGGTTGTGGAACAGTATTCTACCCAAGGGGGTTTGGCACAGTGAGCAATGTGGAGGAACTAGAACGAATGGTGTATCTCACTCTTTTATAAATCATTTGCAAGCCGTTGTGTGGAGTGTGGTGTCCAATTAGTGTTAATTATTGAATGGAATGTGAAAAGAATGTCTGAGTTCCTCCAGCTCCTGTATTCTTTAATCCTCTTCCATAAGAGGAGGAGGGTCATGGCTTAGGGGTTAATCTATTCCCGACCCAATATTTCTTTACGTGCATAAACCAATTTTGTTTTGTTTCCTAGCATTCTGAAAAATATCGCAGACTGTTTGAGCCCACAGCAGTGGCACGGCCAGATCAAGAACACACAACAGGCTTTTGAGATTCTTGATATCTAGTGGTTGATGGACATGAGCGGGGACTTTACAGAAGGTAAGAGCAATCCAGGCAGGAGTACCCCAAACCCACTCTCATACAGCCAAATTATCAGATTAAACTATTCTGTCAGTTCCTTGTAACTCCTCATGCCCCGAGACAGTTGCCTAATGCCCACAGGGTCCATCTGAAGAACAGAGGTCATCCATTCCTAAGCTTTCATCAATAGCACTGTGAAAGCAGCCAGTCTGGTAGGATGGGGTATGCAGAATCATCCCAACTCTCTCGCTCCATGGATCATGTTTTGTATAGTTGTGCCTCCAACAGTGGAACTGTTGGAAATGGGAATGCCCGAAGGCGCAGTAGGGAGTCTAGGGGGAAAGATAGCGATCCTCGGAACGTGGCACAGTGATGCACTCTTCATTTCATCCACTGATCTGGGTGAAAGCATTCTGGGTACTGCCTACAAAGGTTTATGCCAGTGTCAGAACACTGGATGAGAAAAGAAGACTGCAGTTATATCCAGGTGCAATGCAGGAATGTGCTTGCATCTGGCAGATGTCCATTCATGGGAACAGATGATAGTTAGGATGTTCCAGTAGAACATAAAAAGCACAGCTCAGTCCTTATGCACAAAATTAGCTACATCTCAGAGGTATTTCTCTGAACCAGATCATGATTCTAAATTGTATGTTAGCTTTAATGATCCTGGTTATCAGATAAACCTAGAGGGTAGAACCTTTGTACTCAAGAAAAATGCAGGTTTGGGAAATATTTGATTGAGTCTTTGAAATAGTGGGGATAAATAGGTTTTGCAGTGTGTTACATAATCATATACATTGAGTGTCAGGAGAATTTGCTTCTGTTTGCTTTGTCTTGGGTCTATCTAGTGATTATTAGTAGAGAATACATGATAGTACAATATCTACAGAAGAAGCTCTGGTCTTAATGATGAGTGTTTATTGCAGTAAGACGTAATTACTGGGGCACTAAGGAACTGGTACTTTTGCTCTCTCAGATGTGTATGCTTTAACACCTACAGTAGAACACTCTCTAAATACAGACAAAAATATCTATATTTAGCAATACTTTAAAAGTATTTAATTGGCTGTAAAGTGCTGTAGAGCATTGGGCCTAAATAAAAATGTTATCTACTCCCAAACCTTTTACATGTCCAAGCACCACCATGTTCAATTTCCTGTCCAAGCCTCTCAGTGCCCTGACTAGGACATATATCACTGTTCATCCTAATCTCTAAATCAGTATCTGGGAGTTCCCTACCCAACAGTAACATTACATGAACTGCAGCAATGTATTAGAAAAACCTGTGGTAAGGTTTGGCTTTGCCAACGACACCCATATCCAAATAATTGACTTATGCCAATAGCAAAACCATTGAGAAAATGAACAGTGCACTTAATGTTATTTCTAGAGGGATGGATTGGATGACAGGGAAATTATGCTAAACCTGTATTAGACTTTGATTAGACAATTCATTGAGCATTGTCTGCAGTTCTGGTGGTCATACTATAAAAGTAGCGCAGAGGCACTGGAGAGGATGCAGTAAAGATGTACTGGGGTCATACCAGAAATGAGTGGGTATATATCGGGAAAGCATTGTCAGAGAGTCTCTCATCTTGAAAAGATAAAGTTTAGAAGGAACCTGGTGAAGCTGTTTAAAATGACGGGATTTTAGTAGTGGATACAGACAGACAATTTCAGACTAGAGGCCTTCAATATAAAATAATTACCAAGATATCCAGTAGAGATTTCAGAAGAAACTTCGAGTGGCAAAAATGTGGAACCTGCTGGATTTTTAAAGCAAGTATCACTGCCTTTAAGGGAAAGCTAGACAAATGAGGGAGAAGGGAGTGGATTTACGATGATAGATTTAAATGAGGAAGCTCAAGTGGAACATAACTAGTTGGGCTGAGTGGCCTGTATCTATAACCCTGTAAAATGTGGTATGTTCTATTTATGCATATATGAATAACAAGAATCTAACTGCAGGATTAGTTCATGTCCTGGTCAATGCCTTCTTTTTGTAACAGAGGTGTATGAAACGGACGGTTCTGGAGCAATTCTATGGAGAGAGAAACCAAGCTAACCTTTCGAGTCTGGAATGACACTTTCTCAGAACAGCATCTCCAGTACTTTGCTTTTATTTCAAGTGTATAAAATTTATTTTTTTGACTATTAGCAAAGACTAACTGTGACAATTATATTCTCGCCCAAATCAGGAAAGTGTGGGATGCCCGTGAGTGTGTACTGTGGGAGGATACGGAATAATGAAACACCACTCACCCTTATTCGCAGCAACAGTGTGGATTCTAATCTCCATTTACAGACAGGAGGCTGGCTCTCCAAAGGCAAAGGTAAAGATTGTTATGTTTGTGGGTCAGGGCCATGCTGCTGGTTAGATGCACTCCTTCACCACTGCTGATCCAGGTTTAATGCAGCCCTTGAGGCAATGGTCTGTTTTGTCTGGAATACAAGAACATTTGAAAGAAAAGTCAGCTATTTAGTCCCTTACCTGTACCGCCATTAGATCATAGCTGATCTGGAGCGCAACGTTAAACTCCCTCCCTCTCTTGCCAGCCTAATCTCACAGCCATTCTGGTGAGTATGATCTTCATAAACTCGGATATTCCTAGCCAACACAGGCCTATGAAAGAAGGAATTCCAGATTTCTGTTGTCTGTTAAGTTCCAGGTTACCTACCCACTTTGCTGGCGGGAGAAGTCATGTACAAAGCAAGAGTCAGCTGGGGAGAGAAGGCAATGCATTCCACATGATCAGTTAAAAACAGCACTGCATTTATATAGCGCCTTTAACAGAATGAAACCTTCCAAGTCTCCTGGATGGTAAAACATTATCTGACGCCAACTTGCAATATTTGACACATTTGATCAAAGGGACAGGCTCTAAGAAGTGTTTTAAAGCAGGAAAATGAAATAGAGAGTCAGATGGGTATAGGGAGGGTAGGCTAGGAGCATGGCGATCATTAGTGAAACAATTAAAATTGGGCACGTTCAAGAGGCAGGTAAGTGAAGAATCAGAATCTCACAAATTGACTTCTTATCATCTCCCACTTCTAATTCTCTTGCCAATGATCATAAACCTGCGTTGTTATTGACTCTGTTGCTCGTGAACATGCTTCTCCTGATCTACTCTATGAAAACCCTTCATAATTTTGAATGCCAGAAAAATATTTCAGGTTAGATGATATTGTTCTCGCTTCACGATGCTGCCTCACCTGCCAAGTGTTTCTAGCGTTTTATTTTCCATATGAAAGCTGATGGGAATTGTTTGCACTGTTTACTGATGTGACTTTTGTTCTTTAAGAGCAGAGCGTGCTCTGGACTCCATTAACCCTCGTGTTTTCTGCAGCCATTCTTCGGTCCAGTCTGAACTTGCCCCTGAAGAAAACCTGTTTTGTAAAGAACACCGAGGGAGGTCAGCAGTCCGTGGGTGGCTGGCTTTTGGACAGTAATAATTTCTATCGCTTGCCCGATGGCAACAGATCACAGGCTGCTTCTCGTGTTCACGGCTATAGTGTGAAGCTTGACTGGGCTGAGGCAGAGACTGACGGTGACCATCCCTCCCTCGATACACTTCAACTTAAAAACAAACTCAAACGACGAATGTCAGAAATCCTGCCGCAAAAGAGTAAGTTCCATCTGCAAATGTTGGCATTTCTCTTTCCTCTTTTCTGTCCTCTGCTGCTTCTGTCCTTCCTTGTTCTTTCCCTTGGGTTTTCTTCTCAGTCTCAATTTTCTTCTCCACTTCATCTCTCAGCTCACTACCACTCTCTCCTCACCCCCTCTGTCCTGTTTTTCACTCCCTTTGCTCCCTCACTTTGTTTCTCTTTTTGATCTTCCTGCCCTCATTATAAATTTCTATCTCTTTGTTCGCTGCCCCTTTCTTCTCCCCCTCTCCCTCGCTGCTCACTGTCACTGGCTCTTGTTTATCTTACCCCACATGTTGCACTTTTTCTTCAGTTCTTCTTTTCCACTGACCGTTTTTCACCCTCCTGTCATTTCTTTTCTCCCCTCCTTTTTTTCCTCATTCCTTTTCTCTTTCCTCCTTTTCTTCACTTCCTTTCTGTCTCTTCTCCTTCGCTTTCTTGCTTTTCTACATTTATCTTTCCTCCCCTCGCCATTCCTTTTTTTCCAGTATCTCTTTTCCTTTTGCCACCTTAATTTCCTTTTCCCTTTTTTCCTTGACGCTCCTCTGTACTGTGGTTCTTGTCTTGTTTCCCTCTATCCCTTCAATTCTGCTCTCATAATGTTAACACACAAGGCACAGAACAATTTCTACATAATTGTAAATGATCACAATGTGCTTTGAGTGCCTGTAAGAACCAATATGGCCCATGGCCAAGACTGTTAGTACCTGCTGGAGCATCACATCATGTTACACAATGGGACCTGTGTTTCACGGACCGAAGGTGTTCAATTATGCAAAATAATGTCCAACTTATCAGGCTTCCTAAACCACACTTTTGTAATGAGGGAGAGAGAAATAAGTGCAAGTGGGACAACATTCTGTCTTGGATCTTTATTTCCTGTGTTGGCTCAGGCACTGTGTCAAACAGACTGCCTTTTCTCAAAATGTTCAACTAATTCTCCAGTTTAGCACTCTATCTGAATGCAGTCCAAGGTTTTTTTCTATCAATATTGAAGTCTTGTACCTAGTATTTTAAAAAATTAATTCATATGACATGGGCCCTTACTGGCTGGGCTAGCATTCATTGCATGCCCCTTGTTGCCTTTGGTGGTGAGCTACTTCCTTGAAATCCTGTAGACCACGCTGTAGGTAGACCCACAATGCCCTTAGGGAGGGTAATTCCAGGATTGTGACTCTCAAGAAACAATAATATATTTCCAATTTGGGATGGTGAATGGATTAGAGGGGAACTTGCAGGTCATGGTTTTTCATGTATCTACTGCCCCTGTCCTTCTAGATGGAAGTGGTTGTGAGTTTGGAAGATGCTGTTTAATGTTTGTTGGTGAAATTTTGTGGTTCATCTTGTAGATAGTACACACTGCTGCTTGCGGAATGTCAGTGATGGAAGGAGTGGATGTTTGCTGATTCCAGTCAAGGAGGCTGCTTTGTTCAGGATGGTGTGAGGCTTCTTGACTGTTGTTGGAGCTTCACCCATCCAGGCAAATGGGAGTATTCCATCACACTCCTGACTTGTGCCTTGTAGGTGATGGCCAGGCTTTGGGCAGTCAGGAGGTGAGGTACTCACTGCAACATTCCTAGCCTCTGAACTGCTCTTGTAGCCACAGTATTTATATGGTTATTGCAGGATAGTGGAGGATTCACAGTGATGGTAACACCATTGAACATCAAAGAGCAGTGTTTAGATTGTCTCTTATCGAAGATAATCGATACCACCTTATTGATGATGGTCATTTGTGTGGTGCAAATGTTACTTGCCACTTATCCAGGCTTGGGAGCATATTGTCTAGATCTGTATTTGATCATGGACTGCATCAGCATCTGAAGAGTTGCAACTGGTGCTGAATATCGTGTGATCATTGACAAACATCCTGACTTTTGACCTTATGATGGAGGGAAGGTCATTGATGAAGCAGCTGAAGATGGTTGGGCCTAAAATGCTACCCTGAGGAATTCTTGCAGAATTGCTGGGGATCTCTGGAGGAGGCAGAGATGGATCGTCCATTCTATCATCATCAAGGGTGGGATGTTTGTGGAGCCTCCCTCCGGTAAGGAAGTAACCTTCATCTCAGCTTTTTTGTCCACGTTTGAACCAAGGCTGTAAGATGCTCAGGACAGCACATAGGGGAGGCGGTGGCCTTAGTGGTATTATCGCTGGTCTGTTAACCCAGAGACCTGGCTAACATTCTGGAGACCCGGGTTCAAATCCTGCCATGGCAGATGGTGGAATTTGAATTCAATAAATATCTGGAATTAAGGATCTAATGATGACCATGAATCCATTGTCGATTGTTGGAAAAACCCATCTGGTTCATTAATGTCCTTTAGGGAAGGAAACTGCCATCCTTACCTGGTCTGGCCTACATGTGACTCTAGACCCACAGCAATGTGGTTGACTCTTAACTGCCCTCTGGGCAATTAGGGATGGGAATAAATGCTGCCTAGCCAGCGACACCCTCATCCCGTAAATGAATTAAAAAAAAGGCTGAGTGGCCCAGGCAGAACCTGAACTGAGTGTCAGTGAAAACATTGTTGCTGATCAAGTGCTGCTTGGTTGCAGTGTTGATGGTATCTTCCATCAGTTTACTTGGCACTTCTGACTGAAGATTGATGTGAATGCTTATCTTTTGCACTGATGTACTGGACTTCCCCCATTATTGAGGATGGGGATATTTGTAGGGTCTTATCCTCCAGGGACTGTTTGACCTAGGGTTGGAATCTTGCAGCAATTCACCTCCTGATTCCCCAAAGCCTGTCCACTATTGACAAGGCACAAGTCAGGAGTCTGATGGATTTCTTCCCATTTAGTTGAATGAATGCAGCTCCGACAACACTCAAGAAGCTTGGCACCATCCAGGATAAAGCTTACTTGATTGGCGCCACATCTATAAGATGCACTGCCACAACTCGCCAAGGCTCCTTAGACAACAGCTTCCAAATCCATGAGCTGATGTGGAAATATATCGATGCTCTTTCACCGTTGCAGGGTCAAAGCCCCTACCTCCCCAACAGCACTGTTGGTTTACCTACACCACGTGGATTGCTGAGGTTCAAAATGTTAGGTCACCATTTCATTCTCAAAGGCAAATAAACTCTGGTCAGCAAAGCCCATATCCTGAACAAATTTTTAAAATATTTTCAAAAAGTTTTTATAAAAGTATTTTAGGTAGTGCAAATCATTGATAGAAGTAATTATTTTTATGAAGAGGAGAAAAAGACGGTTACTGTTATTTGTGGGAACTTGCTGTATTTTCTACAAATATACAACTTTGGCTGTGAAAGAGGTGCATTCAGCAGCCTTTCATCAATGCAAGTTCTATCTCTCTCTGTAATTTTCTCTGCCAACTAGATATACATTCTCGTCAATCTCCAACTTTCCTTACCAAGTACCCTCAACATTTTGCACTATGTAAAGGTGTAACACATTTGTGAGTCTATCTTTAAAAGGAGTTTCTTTTCGGAATCTTTTCAGAGTTGTTGAAGTTAATTGAAGGGTGGTTGGTTTGGGGGCAGAAGTCTTGGGAAGTGGCCACGTTGATTTCAGCAGAGAGGGTGTATTTAATTTCTCTGTCCATTTACCAGAACCTGCATTGCTTCCCTCACAAACCCTCCCTGAATACAACTGGAACGTGATGCTGGTGCTTGCTTTGCTTTTTGACTTTCTTTGCTTGCTGCATAAGTACTTTTATGGGAAAGTAGCACAGCCTCCTTAGCAAAGTGTGACCTTAAATTCTTCTCAGGACCTTAACGCTCCAGCAACTGCCAGCCATGGCCCAAGGCCACATTGGCTACTGTAAGTGGCTGAAGTCATTGGCCTCCAGTCAAGCATTTCCCATTCTGGTGCTATGGAATGGGACTAGGTCATTGGATGGCTGTTTGCTGCAGGGTGCAGCACCTTTTTAGATTTTATTGTCACGTATATCAAAGTACAGTGAAAAGCTTTGTTTATGAGCAGTACAGGCAGATCATCGTAAACAAGGTTGTACAGATCAAAAAGACTTAGACAGAGGCATACAGGTTACATTGCACAGGGCGTGCGCTGGGTGAGATCAACATTAGCAAGATCAGCATTATTTGAGGGGAGAAAGTCCATTCAACCACTGGTTAGGAAGTTCGAGTCCTGATCTGGGTACTTGAGCAGGGAATCTCAGACATCTCTCCTGGGGCATATTGCAGGAGAGATGTGCCAGTAGAGGCACTGTCTTTGAAATGGGATGTTTGACTGTGGCTCAGTCTGCCCTCCCAGGTGGAAATGATCCCACTACAAAGCAAAGAAGTTTGCCCTTGTGTCCTCTATGGTACACTGCTGGTCAGAAATTGGCAGGAAACAAATGGCAGAATTGGGATGTTACAGCAGAAGTTAAACATGGGGAGACCAGCACAGGATTTTGAGACATATGACACCTTTCAATAAGGCAGTCTGGGGAACACGGATTTAAGTTGTGGGTAAGAGATACTGGGGAAATATGAGAGAATATTTTTATGCAGTGAGTGTGTAAATGACATGATACCCTCTCGCCACGGTGATGGGGAAAGCAGGACAGGTCACAAGAGAATAACCAAACAAGATTTCACACTGAGACACATAAATAAGATATTTGTTTAGTGCAGTAGAGAAGTTTAAATCTGTGTTTAAAAGGAGAGAGGTGGGTGGAAGGTTTTGAAAGGGAATACTGGAACCTAGGTCCTTGGCAGCTGATGACATGCCCACCAATGGGACAATACGGTGGCTCAGCAGTTAGCACTGCTGCCTCACAGTGACAAGGATTTGATTCCAGCCTCAGGCGACTGCCTGTGTGGAGTTTGTACATGCTCCCCATGTTTGCGTGGGTATATTTCGGGTGCTCCAGTTTCCTCCCACAGTTCAAAGATGTGCAGGTTAGCTGGATTGGATGTGCTAAATTGCCCACAGTGTCCAAGGGTGTGTAGGCTAGGTGGGTTAGCCATGGTAAATGCAGGGTTACAGGGATGGGGTTGGTCTGGGTGGGATGCTCTTTGGAGGGTTGGTGTGGATTCAATGCGCAGAATGGCCTGCTCCCACACTATGAGGATTCAAGTCTATGATTCTGTGAATGATGGAAGGGTTAAATATTCATGATTAATGTTGTACAATATTAAGAGGCTGTTAGTTTTTCAGGATGATTTAGCCAATTGAAAATTTTAATGGTTAATGGCCTCATCTTACAAAGAGGTGTGGAAAAACAGCTTAAATTTCCACAATATTCCAGAGCAGCACAGATAAGAGTCATATGAGCTCTTCCTTTGGAAGCTGGGAATTAACATCATGTCGAATGATCAGTCTTGGCATTCTCTCTGTTAGGTCCATTCGAGACTGTACATCCCTTGAAGCCCCCTCTCTCCCGGTCTGCCTCACAGCGAGTCCTGAATGCCACACGACCCATCCCACCTATCGAGGCGAAGGCCAACTCTCAAGCTAAGGAGGCCTACGAAAAGGATCTTTCCTCAAATGATAAGAATGAAGAAGCTCCTGTTGGCAAGTTCCCAGGATGTTCACCTATGGAAGCTGGAGAGGGGCATGCTGTATCTGTAACAATTCCTGAAGAGGTAATTGGAATTAGATTCCAGTCGATAGTCACTGCCAGGTATTCATTATTTGTATATACGCCATCCTGAGCCCCTCACTTGAATTGCTGTCCTGTTGTCTGGGTGTCCATTAGTCTCTGTTCTTTTCCCAGGTTAAGATCTCCCTTCAGCAACTGCGGAGCAGCGCTGAGAAGAAGCGGAAATTGCTGGGTGCCAGTTTATCTCAGTCATCTTTTAAGTTGCCAAGTTCCGATGAGATCAACTTCCAGCCGCTACCTTTCAGACCTCTGCAGCTGGACAACAGGACACGAAGCCTTCATGCCATTGTGTAAGAGACAGGGGACCAACTGTCTGCATATTAATTTCATTTAGGGCTTCCTGTTGCTCTGTGTATTGTGCGTGGGTGTCCTGTCCCTACACCAATGTTCAGCTGTAAACTTGATGTGAATGACTTGCAAACTGTCCCAAATCATTTTTTACATTTCCTTTCTCCCAGTCGATAGTTGTGCTCATGAAGGTGAGGAATACCTTTAGGGAATGGGGTCCCTGCCACAATTCTCTCCCAAAGCAGTGTTCTGGGACTGGATGTGGTTCATAGCTCATACTCAACTGCTGTAATGCAAATGTTGGAGTGACATGTACTTAGGTATATTAGTCATACATAGCTCTGTACTGTTAAGACAGCCACACAACATTAGAGACTTGATGGCATTCAGACTCGGTCGAAGCTGCCAGAGTGGGAAATGCCATTCTACTAGTCCCACTCCCAGGCTTTTCCTATGTCTCCTCCAAATTATTTTCTCAGGTAAGTATTCAATTCCCTTATGAAAGCCAGAATTGAATTTGCCCCCCCCTACACTGTCAGGCAATGCATTCCAAATCCTAACAACTCATTGTTTAAGAAGAGTTTTCCTCAGGTTGCCTTTGATTCCATTGTCAATCGTTTAAATCAGTGTCCTGTCATTCTTGACTGTTCTATCAAGGGGAACAGTTTCTCCCCCAGATTAAAAGAGACCAGGATCAAATTGAATGGGAAAGAGACTTGGATGGACACGCTGTTTGCTCCACCCACTAAAACCTCGCTGAAAAGCAAAATATTGTGGATGCTGGAGGTTTGAAATAAAAACAAAGTGCTAGAGAAACTCAGGTCTGTCAGGGTTTGTGGAAAGAAATGGTTAATATTTTTGAGCCCAATCACTCTTTGGAACTAAAACTTATTTAAGTGCTATCTAACCTGGTACCACTACCTCTGCCTCCTTCCCCAGTGTTGATATGAATCATTCCAAAACTAAATATCTTTAGTCCTCCACCATGTTTTCTTTGTTATGAGGGTGAGTGTATTTACACCACTTTTGCATATTTATGCTTTTTACACACACACATTTGAGTAAAATTCTTGTGTTTGGGAATTGTAAGGACTCCTTTGAAGAGGGAATCAGTCGTCCAAGGATTGAGTTCAGACTCTGAAGACCAGGAGACACAACCTCCAGGTAATATTCCTGACCTTCATTTGCACTTTGACATGAGAACACAGGAGCAGGATATGGTACGACCCCCTGCCATTCAATATGTTCATGATTGATCTTCTACCTCAAGTAAACTTTGCTTCCCTATTCTCATATTGCTTAATTCAAAACTCTTGTGTTAATCCCACCCTGAACGTACTTGTCAAATTTGCAACCACAACCCTCTGAGTGAGAGACTTCCACTGGTGTTTTGCTCCTGTTCCTAACTCCCTAGAACTGCCTCTTCAGCACAAAGCCTGAGAAGGGAAGTAGGCACGCACACATTGAGAGCTCCTCCATGTTTTTTCAGTGGCTAAAGGATCATAATTTGATTTGTCATTTGGGTGTAAAATGACTTTCTGGGCCGGCTGCACATTTTGGGCACATTATGTCATTAGGAAAGAAAAATGGGAAATTTCTCAATTCAGGTATAAATAATCAAAGGAAGGCTTTATGTGACTGAGACATAAACAATCAATTTACCTGTATTGCAAATATTTGTGTCCAGTGCACGTGCCTTTTATAAAATTTGTTCATGGGATGTGGGTATTTCTGGCTAGGGCAGCATTCACCCCAAAATGGACTAGAGGGCAGGTAAAAGTCAACAACATTGCTGTGGGTCTGGAATGACATGTAGGCCAGAGAAGGTTAGGATGGCAGATTTCCTTCCCTAAAGGATATTGATGAACGAGATGGGTTTTTATGACAATTGACAATGGTTACATGGTTGCCTGCTGACTAGTTTTTAAATTGGGGATTTTTAATTGAAATCAAATTTCACAATTTTCCATGGTGGTGTTTGAACACATGACCCAGAACATGTGTTCTACATTACTAGTCCAATGACATTCCCGCTATGTCACTCCCATCCTTAAATGTTTAATATCAAATAAAAGTGAGAAATAATTTTCTGTTCCAAGATTTTGACAGTCTCAGAGGGCAGCCAGGGATTTGCAAATATGTTCAGGACTGGCCAACTTAAATCTGTCTGCCAATTGTTTTCGAGGGGCAACTGAACCATCTTAAACAACACGCCACCTTAACATCCTAAGCAGACCTTGACCAGCTAGTCACTAATAACAAAACCAGGAGACTGGTTACACAGAGTTCGGTGTAGCTCCGTGACATTGTATGCTGTTGCTAAGTCATCAGAGCACACTGTGACTGCCTTATTCACAATATATATTTAATGATCTGGATGAGGGAACAAAATGTAACACCTCCAAGTTTGCAGATGATACCAAGTTGGGTGGCAGGGTGAACTGTGACAAGGATGCTGAGATCCTTCAGCGTGATCTCGACAGGTTGGGTGAGTGAACAAATCAATGGCAGATGCAGCATAATTTGGATAAATGTGAAATGCAAAAACAAGAAGGCAGGTTACTACCTGAATGGCTGTAAATTGGGAGAGGGGAGTGTGCAGCAGGACCTGGGTGTCTTTGTGCAGCAGACACTGAAGATAAGTGTGTAGGTGCAGCAGGTGGTAAAGAAGGTAAGTAGAATGTTAGCCTTCATTGTGAGAGGTTTTGAGTACAGGAGCAGGGATGTGTTGTTATACAAGGTCTTGGTGAGACCATATCTGGAATATTGTGTCCAGTTTTGATCTCCTTTTCTGAGGAAGGATGCTCTTACTCTCGAGGGAGTGCAGCAAAGGTTTACCAGGCTGATTCCAGGGATGGATGGGTCTGACATATGAGGAGAGATTGACTAGGTTAGGATTGTTTTCGGTGGAGTTCAGACAAATGAGGGGGGATCTCATAGAGACTTAAAATTCTAACAGGACTAGACAGGGTAGATGCAGGGTGGGTGTGTCCAGAACCAGGGGTCACAGTCTGAGGATTTGTGGTAGGCCATTTAGGACGGAGATGAAACATTTCTTCACTCAGAGTGGTGAGCTTGTGTAATTCATTACCGCAGGAAGTAGTTGATGCCAAAACATTGAATATGTTCAAGAGGCGGCTAGATATAGGACTTGGGGCAAATGGGATCAAAGGTTATGGGGAGAAAGCAGGATTAGGTTATTGAGTAGGACGATCAGCCATGATCGTGATGAATTGCGGAGCAGGCTTGAAGGGCCGAATGGCTACCTCCTGCTTCTATCTTCTATGATTTTGTGTTTATCCTATCATCCCAACTTAAATATTGAAGCGTGTTGGAGTTTGACCCTTTAAGATATTGGCTCAGGAAGAGAAATTATTTTTAATTCCAGTTGCCATTAAAGATGACTGCAGCACACAACTGAAAGAGGCTAAGCAGAGCAGGAACCGAGTGAAATCTGCCCCTATAACTGGAGGAATGGCATTGGGGGAAGACACATGCATTCTTCAATCCACAACCCATCAGGACACTGGTAAGCTCTATATTTATGTCGATAACCAGGCTTTTGCAGTATTGAACAGGTTGGCTTTCCATTTTTACTGCCATATTGGCTGACATTGCATGCCATCTACGTAAAGCACAGAAAGAAATGAACTAGGAGGCGGAATAAACAATTCAGCACCTCAAGCTTACTCCACCATTTACTAAGATCATGGCTGATCTCATTTTGGCCTCAACTCTACTTTTCTGCACATTCTCCATAACTCTTTGATTAAAAAACTGTCTTTTTTCCTCCTTAAATTTAAAATTAGAGGAAACATATTTCCTATGTTGTTTTGTCAATCTTCTTTAGCATCTTATATACCTCAACTCGATCTCCTCTCATTCTTCTAAACTCCAGAGGGGATAGGCCTAAAGCACTCAATCTCTCTTGTTGAACCAAGCCTCTCATCTCTGGAATCAATCTAGTGAATCTCTTCTGAATGCCTATGTCCTTCTTCAAGTAAGGGGACTAAAATTGTGTGCAATACTCTGGATGCTGTCTCATTAATGTGTTGTACAGTTGCAGCAACACTTCCCTACTTTTATATTTTATTCCTTCAGCAAAAAATGCCAAAATTCTGCAGCTTCCTTATTACCTACTATACCTTGTGTGATGGGATAGTTGTGACCATGTGTATAGATCCAACAGATAATCCTCTGGTTGAAAGGCTGGGTGTAAGTATCCCTATCAAACTTTGCTTTCTGAGGTATGTCAGGATGATGCTTAAAGTCTGGTGGAAACTAGGCTAAACCAATGGATATATTTCCTCCTCAACCCTCCAAGTAAGTTGCAGTGTGCCTCCTGCAAAGCAAGAGAAAGTTCCCAGAGAAGGAAGATCGAGTAGTTGCAGGTCATGGAAGCCAGAAGGAACATCTCAATGAGCCTTGTGGGCAGGAGTGTTGAAATGCTTTTCCTGTTTTTCCCAATTTTTATTTTTTCTGTCTGCCTGTGTGTGTGTGTTTGTGTGTGTTTGTGTGTGTGTGTGTGTGTGGTTAGTTTTATAAGGGGATCAGAGTTTTAATTAGTATTTACATATTAATGGTTCATAATTGTTTATAGCACAAACTAAATAGCTAGAATTAATAATATATTTTAATTCTCGTTAAGTACAGAAACCCGGTCTGTGCTTTTGGTCAACCTGGGTCTAAACGTCAGGTAAATTGGAGGATTTTGTGAACTTTCATAAAAGCTTTCAGCGTTGTAATGGCTCTGGGAATAGCTGGGTTTGATTTCTAGCCTGGTACTCCAGTGAGGTGAAACACGGCCATTGTCATTGGTACCTGCATAGACAATGTCAATTCGATCCTTCTTCCATTTCAGATCGTGTCCAGATTTCCTGAAACCTGACACTGGATAGACAACATAGCCTTCTGGACTCCTGCTGTTTGCTGCACAGAACAGGGGCTACCCCTCTCATTAACTAACCTCTCATACTGTCCCCTCACTTTAAAAAAAAACAACTTCCTGAATCATGCTACTCTGATTACTCTGCTCTTTCACCTTGCAGAGCTTGCTTTCATCCACACATTTAAGTACCTCAAACTTGTTAGATAATTCCAGGCTTCTGTTCTACAGTATTCTGCAACAGCTTATCTGCCACACTCTGGTCGCACACTCCATCCCCTTGCTCAGGTGGAATTGGACCTCCCTGTTCTATGGATTGTGATTGTTTTCTGGAACAAAGTGTCCAGATATTTCTCCCTTTCTCTGGTACATTGTAAAGACTTCAATTCAGCCTCCAATTCAAAAATCCTTGAGTTGGAGATCCTGCAATTTTAAACGTTTCCTACAGATATGTTTTCCCTGAATCACCTCTGATTCAGAAGTTTCCACATTCTACAAGTACAGGACAATACTTGTCCTATTAGACAATGGTACGAAATAGATAAATGTAATTCATTAATTTAATCAGTTATGTGACATTAATAGTTATTTTTAACTAAACTCTGGCTGTTTTTACAAATGCTGATTCAACTTACAATGGAAAATTATACCCTCCTAATAATTAAACTGGGAGCTGCATTAGATACCTATATTAAAGATTTACTACTCTCTCAATTACAGAAGAAGAACTATAAATAGGTGTCCTTAAACGGATTGTTTACACAGTGTCTAATGGGAACCACCCAGCACTGATCAGCTTACTAGATTCATAGTGTTGCATTTCCATTTTGTTTTGAAACTGAACATGCAGGCTGGTTCCTAGTAGCTGAACTGGTCCATTCCAAAAGAAGATACACCACCTTCCCCAACTTCACCGAATTCCCACATTAACCAAGCTCCCTAGCTTTCCATTCAAGCAAGCCACACGTTCTAATCCCACATACCAGTGCAAGGTCCATATCCTTGCAGGTCACAATGATTCAGATATGGATTCAGGTACCTTTTTTAGATGATTTGAGAGTTTCTGCCTCCTACCTCACTAAGCAGTGAATCTTACACACAGGCCATCCTTTAGGGGAAAAGGTTTTTTTTAGTATCTCTCTCTAATCCTCCTACCAATCACCTTAAATTTGTACCCTCAGTATTTGATCTCTACACTAGAGGAACAGATCTTTCCTGTCTACTGTCTAGATGCCTCATTATTTTGTCAATTATGTCATCCATAAGCCGCCTCCGTTCTAAGGAAACCAACTCTAGCTAATCCAATCTTTTCTCAGAAATTTTCAAGTCCTGACGACATTCTTTTAAATTCCTCTGCACTCGCTCCAGAGCAATTATGTCCTCCCTCATTGTTCACGGGATCTGATGAAATGATTCTTATGATATTATGATGGTCAAAATGCTGCTTCTTGGGACACTTCCACTGATCTGCAAGAGGTACAGGGTGGCTGGTTCACATATAGAATATCTCTGATGTATTAATTAAAAGTCACAACTTGCAGAAACTACTGAAGGAAAGATAAACTGGTTTTATTCAGGCTTAAAGTGGCTTACTGCAGTGTCGAGAGAGATCTTCTAAGATGGTTGTGGTCTGAAAGCGTCTCTCCATCCTAAGCTGTTGAGGTACCCAGAAAACAATTGCATAATTGGCTAAAAGGAAAATAAACACTGCGGATGCTGGAAATCTGAAACAAAAGCAGAGAATATATTGGAGAAACTCAGCAGGTCTGGCAGCATCTGTGGAGAGAGAAGAAGAGTTAACATTTTGAGTCTGGCATGATGCTTTTCTAGAAAACACAGGTTCTTCAGGATTTTGAAGAATCATCATACTGGCTCTATTTAGCTCCAGTTCATCTGCAAACACCAGCTGTAACCCATAGCTGTGCAAACAAAGTTGACAACGAATATAAAATTATTTGCTTTCAGACTGTGCAACAACACTCGCAAGCCCTTGTTGTAAAACAGTCCTTTTTCATGTCCAGTCCACAATTTAAAAAAACATCAAAATAAAAAGACGTGACCTTGATAACCATTGCTTTCATCGCTGGACCAATAGTGACATAATACTCAATCTCCAAAGTATACAGAAGTCACATCAAAACACTTTGTGGGCATTCACATCAGAGCTCCTTTGCATCTAAACAGAGACTGCCTTTCACTAGGTGTTCTACTTTCAACCCTCAGTATCACCTTCTTGTTTAGGTTAACTGAGAATTTTTTTCTATGGGATCTGCTACATTTCTTGCAATTGTATGGTTCCCATATCTATTGTGTTCTCATAACTGATCGCCATTGTCAAGGTTACAGATGTTTTGCTTCTTTCTCCTGCTCATTGCCCCTGTTGCTTCTTTCTGAGAATTCATTTACCATCACCTTGCTTTGTTCTGCACATCTTTTCTCAGTGATTCAACTCTCTACAACCCTTTGAACGCAGTTCATTTCCTTTTGCTGTGGACTTGTGCTTGTGGTTGTCTACAACACACTTTTTTTCTCCATCTGCATGCATTCTATTGTTGCTCAATGCAATTAACTTTCTCTTGCTGAAAGCTAGCTATGTGGGTAGTCAGTGTTTTCATCTCTCTACTTATGCCTTCATATCCTCTGCTAGCATCTACACCCTGTGATATTATAATCTTGTCCTTTGTCTTTTCCGGTTAAAGTTTTTTTGTAAGTCAGTGTGCTAAATGAAGAGCTCTTCGTTGTGACCTTACTGACTGTAATTTTCAATTTTGTTACTTGTGTTCTCATTTTTTTCATTTTCCCTTCTATATTTCTTCTAGTTCTTGACTGTGATAGCGGTTTGACACTTGCCTTTCACCCATGATTTTTCCTTCTTATTCTCTATCTCCACTGTCACAAGGGAACTGTGAATATTTTTGCCATATATATTCCCCTGCCATGGGAATGTGCCTTGACTGTAACCTATACATCTCATCTTTGAAGAGAGCCCCATTATTCCATTGCCTTTTGCCTGTCAATCTTTGATTACCATTAGGTACACAATGATGAGCATTTTTCTATAGATTTCCCCTTGTCCTTTCCATTTGTCATTTCCATTTTAATAGCATATATTTTGTAAAGAAAGCTAATTTGACTTCTAAATAACAGACACAGACAAAAGTAGTTGCCAGGTGGCTGTGTCAGAGATAGTAGGAACTGCAGATGCTGGAAAATCTGAGACAATAAGGTGTAGAGCTGGATGAACACAGCAGGCCAAGCAGCATCATAGGAGCAGGAAGGCTGACATTTCGGGCCTAGACCCTTCATCAGAAATGGGGGAGGGGAAGGGGGTTCTGAAATAAATAGGGAGAGAGGGGGAGGC